TTTTCTTCTCCTCCTGTAGAAATAAGAGTGAAACCCCTCCCCAGCATAGCACATTACCTGGCTTCCATTGTGAGGTCAACACATCCTTGAAATACACTTGCTGATTTAATTCAGAAGACTTTTCTATTATCCAATGTCTCCCTGCTGCTGTTGTCTTTTTCATTAAGGTTAAGAAAATTCAAAGTGAATAAAGCATTATGTAATCTATTTCTGGGGGTATTTTCCATCCCTTTCTGTTTGTTTAACATATCCTCTATAGTTTGATTTGATCTTTCTACAACTGCCTGACCTGTAGGATTGTATGGTACACCTGTAATATGCTTTATATTATAATACGCAAAAAAAACTATGCTGGTCCATTATCTGTCTTTATTTGTTTAGGTATACCCATGATGGCCATAGCTTCTAATAAATGTGCAATTACTGAATCAGCCTTTTCTGAGCTCAAGGTAGTTGCCCACGGAAAACCTGAATAAGTGTCAATGGTGCGTGTACATATTTTAATTTTCCAAATTCTGTAAAGTGGAACATATCCATCTGCCAGATTTAATTTCTTTGAGTACCCTTTGGGTTAGTCCCTATAGGTAGCAGTGTCTGGTTATAGAAAGAACAAGAAGGGCATCTCTTTATAATCTCCTCAGCTTGTTGCCATGTAATAGAAAACTCTTTCTTTAAACCTTTGCTATTGACATTATGCTTCTTATGGAATTCTGAGGCTTTCAACATGCTTGCAATCAGTAATCAACCAATTTCTCTATTGCCTTGTGCTAGAGAATCTGGCAGACCCATATAGGATCAGATGTGTGTTATGTATATGGGACAAAGCCTATTTCTGATTATATCTTGAACCTGAATGAATAATGAAGTCAATTCTGTATCATCTGGTATAAATTCAGAGGTTTTACTATGCAAAGCAACTCTTTCTGCATATTGTGAATCAGTAACTATATTAAGAGGTTCTCTAAAATCCCTTAGCACAATGAGAATAGCATATAATTCTATCTTTTGGATGAAATTATAAGGGCTTTGTTCCACCTTACTTAAATCTTCTGATTTGTAACCTGCCTTTCCTGATTTATTTGCATCAGTATAGAATGTACAAGCTCCAGTTATTGGTGTGTCATGTACAATGCAGGGAAGGATCCAAGAAGTTCTCTTTATAAGGTTAATTCAATCACTTTTGAAATAATTGCTATTACTCTCTCCTAAAAAATTAGCACAAGCTCTTTGCCAAGGTTCATTATCTTCCCATAATTTTTTAATTTCACCAGAAGTAAAAGCACTATAATCTCTGCTGGGTCTATACCTGCTAATTGATGAATCTCAATTTTCCTTTTATAATTAATTCAGAGACTTTTTCCACATATGTTTTTAATTTTTTACTTGGTTTATATGGTTAAAATATCCATTCTAAGATAATATCTTCCCTTTGCATTAAAATTCCTGTGGGTGAAATTCTGGAAGGCAATATGACTAAAATATAGTTAAGATTTGGATTCACCCTATTGACATGTGCCTTCTGTAATCTCTCCTTGACAACTGTCAATTCCTTTCCACTTTAGCTGTTAATTCTCTGGAACTATTCAGGTCTTTATCACAATCTAAGGTTTGTTTAAATGAATCATTAGATCAGGTGTTATTCCAACAGTTGTTGGGAAATGTCTCCTAGCAATCTTTGGAAGTCATTCAGAGCCTGCAACCAGTCTCTCCTCATTTGTGCCTTTTGTGTTCCAATTTTCTGTAAAATAACCTAGGTAATTGACAGAATCTCCTCTATGTATTTTCTCAGGATCAATTTGAATCCCCATTTTGGCAAAACTTTCTTTACTTCTTCAAACATTATTTCTAAAATATCCATGTTTGTATCAGATAGTAAAATATCATCCATGTAATGGTAAATTATAGATTTAGGAAATTGCTTACATATTATTTCCAATGGCTGACTGACAAAGTATTGGCAGAGGGTGGGGCTATTGAGCATTCCCTGTGGGAGGATGGTCCATTGATATTTCCTAGTAGACTGAGAATTATTATTAGTAGGCACTGTGAAGTCAAATTTTTCTCTGTCTTTTTCTTGTAAAGGTATAGTGAAGAAACAATCTTTCAAATCAATAACTATAAGAGGTCATCCTTTTAGTAGTAGAGAAGGCAGAGTAATTCCAGAGTGTAGAAGTCCCAGAGGTTGAATTACTTGTTGACAGGTCTTAGATCTGACACCATTCTCCATTTGCCAGATTCCTTTTTAATAAAAAATACAGGAGAATTCCAAGGGCTGGTTGATTCTTCAATATGGTGAGCATTTAGTTGCTCCCGTACCAACTGTTCTAGAGCCTGCAGTTTCTCTTAAGTTAAAGGCCACTGTTTAACCCATATTTGTTTCTCAATTAACCATTTTTAAAGTAGGGCTGTTGGTACCTTTAAAGGTTTGCTAGTTGTTTTGTGTTCTTGTACAGCCTGAATGGCTGGTGACCTTTGTGTATAGTACCTTCTAATATCCTTCCCAGAATTATGAGTTTCTGGGACTGCAGGAATGTTAATCTGGGTATTCCATTGCTGTAGCAGGTCATGACCCCACAAATTCACTGCAATATTAGCCATATATGGCCTCAGCATTCCTCTCTGTCCTTCTGGTCCTATGCAGTCAACCCATCTCGTGCTTTGTTTCACTTGAGCGAAAGTTCTAATTCTTAGTCACTGAATATCTGCCTCTTGAAGAGGCCAATTTGGATGCCAAGATTCTGGGATAGTGATACTCATGTCCGCACTCATGCCAATCAAACCCACAATTACAATGCCATTTATATGTACTTTTAGCTTTGGTCTTTGATCATTTATAGAAGTCTACCAGAATATACATTTCCTATTTCCTGAAGCCGCAGGGCGATTGGTAATGAAAAGTCCCCAGACTATCTTGATACAAAATATACAGTTTTAATAAACAGAAGTAAGACTTACAACAGCTTACACCAGAATCCAAACGATCCGTCCGGACGCAGGAGCCAGGCGAAAAGAGAGCTACTAGCGGAGCGTGCTTGCTAGGTTTATAGGCAGGCTTTAGCCTGAGGGCGGCATGCCCCCAAAACAGAATGTGATTGGCTGAACTCCCCTATCAATTTCCTATCGGAATTTTTGATTTATCCTCCATGTTTATTCCATCCTCTAGAACAGTATGGTTTTTTTTTAACAGAAGGCTCTAGAGTTTTTAATTTTCCTGGTGAGACATGTCCTCCACAGTGACTGGGAATGACTGGACCATTTCTGACTTGGAAGCCTGTGAGAGGCCCCCCAAGGAGTTTTCTGATGGTATTGGGTTGCCTTGTCTGTCTTTTGTTGTTCTACACTCATTGGTCCAACGTCGACCTTTGTCACACCTTCTACATATACCTGAAGGCTGAGTCCTTTTCTTGCCATTCCAAGAGGAAATATTATTCCTAGGAATTCCTTGTCTATAACCCCTTCTCAGATGTGCTATTCTACCACAATTAAAACATTTGGCATTTTGATGTCTCCTCATTCCTTTGGAAATTACTTCTCCTACTCAAGATTCAGTATTATAGTCAAATGTCTCAATGTTCATTGTATGCAAGATCCATTCATCCATTGGTGCTGATCTAACCTTTAAAGGCCCAAGTATCTTTTTGTATTTTAAGTTGGCATTTTCAAAAGTCAGAGACTCGATAAGTATTCATACAGCATCTGGGTTTGTTACTCCTATTTGTACAGCCCTAGTTAATCTTTATAAAAAGTCACTAAAGTGTTCTCTCTGGTCCTGTTTAACCCTGGTATATGATTCAATCCATTTCCCTAGTTCTTGAATCCTGTTGTAAGCATTTAAGGCTGCTTTGTGGCATTTGTTCATCATATAGAGACTGAGCCTATGGTTTAGCATAAGTGCCCTCACCAAGAATTTGATCTTGGGAGGTCTCAAGTCTTTTTGCTTTTCCCTGTTGTTCTAAAATTTTAACCTCTTCCCTGAAATAACATTTAAACATCAGTTGAGGCCCATCATCCAGGACTGCTGAAACTAACTGAAGTCAGGCATGTGGCGTCACCTTAATGCTAGAAGCCCATGTCTTTATCATCTCCCTAACATATGCAGAATGCAAGCCATAAGTTACGACAACTTGCTTAATTTCTTTTAGATCATTCATTCCTATAGATATCCATCTACCTTCTTTGAATCCTTTTGGGCCTTTAGAACTTAATGTTTTGTCAGAGTAGATTACAGCATAGGAAGCTAAAACCCTGGGTAAGTTATCTCTGACAGCTATTGGTAATGTTGAATCCTGTCCTTGTACCTTCTTTCCCTGCTCATCAGCTCCAATAATTTCCTCAATCATTTCAAATCTTTTCACTGCTGTCTTTTGTAAAGCCTGAATCTCCTGGCCTGTGTATATGTCTAGTGATTTCATTGAGGCACCGAGCCCCTGGTCCTCATTCTGCACATGTGATTCCAAGGTCTGAAGTTTTTCCTTTAAAGATAACATCTCATCTTTGGATGTTATTTGGATAGTGTACACATTGCCTTAATTGGTTAACAGAGTTTCCCCAAACTCTGTTAACCAATCATTGCCTCCCTGGAGAGACAGTCTATTTGCTAACCTATCATAAATTTTTAAAAGATTTTGATTGTCAAATTCAACAGTACGAATTCTTTCAGTTAATATCTCAGTACTCTTTGACAAGGATTCAATTTTGTCTGTCAAATTAATGTTACCCTTTTTAATAGTATCAATTTTTTCAGGTAACTTGATTTTCGATGATATTAATCCTGTCAGCAAGCTGTTCATTATTAGTCTTTAAAGGCTATCATTTCTAAAAGTGCCTCATTCTTGGCTCTGTTACAAAACCATTTTCTTCAGGATATAATATGAAGGAAAAAAAACTGAATCCCAATATCCAATAAATGGATGTATCACAATAACTATATAAGCCTTACAGAATACAATCCATAGTATTAGCAAAAAAGTTACTAAAAGTTTCAATAGTAATGTCCGTAATTATATAACTTTCAAGTTTATTAATTTATTAATTAAAAAATATTTATCTGGTATGAGGTCCAGTAAACTGTTTTAGGTGTAATAATCTTTACTGTACAGCAGCTGTCGTGGTTGCAGTCACAACTAGCGGCTGTGCAACCTGGTGCCACGAACAGTCCTGAGCCGCTTTGGCTTTCTCATCTTGGTGCCAGTTAGACACTGAGAAATATGCTTTGCTTGACAAATTAAAAGCAATTAAATCAATTCCATACACGGAGCAAAAAATCCAGAACTCACAGTCAGGGAGCACAAACTGGAAGCTGTGCAAGTCACCATGTGGAAGGGAACCGTGGCAGGGAACGTGGCAGTGGTGTCAGGGGGCATGCGTGCGCTTGGGAAATTTCCAAGTCACCACACAGGGGTTCTACAAAAAGCCACTTAGGTAAAAGCAAGCCAAGTGGGTGGGGGTGGGAGTCTTTCTAGGCTGTGGACCTAGGTCTTCTGGATCCACGTGGGCGCCAGATGAAAAAGGACGCTTAATAAAAATCCCATACTAGCTCAGAATTGAGTATAATAGAGGGTTATTTATTTAGGGATAGACTCACAGATCACAATCCTCTGCTTGAACAGGGAACAGCAACCAAATCCAGTAGCCAGAAAAGAGGCCATATGTGTGCTTTACATCGGCATATATAGTATAAGAGCCCATGCCTAAGTGGGTAGGTAACTTAAAAGCTACTGGTGGTAGGAATTCCTATAGCAATAACATCCCAGAATGTATTGGTAACTAGAAACCAAAAAATTACCAGATGAGCCTTTGGGAACAGCACTCCTAAAACAACATTTTGTCTGAAAGAGGCAAGAAAGTATGATCTCTGAAAGAAAATGTGATATTTAAATACTTTTTTTGGTTTTTGGAGACAGGATTTCTCTGTAGCTTTGGAGACTGTCCTGGAAGACATTTAAATACTTTATTTATTGTGAGTTTATGTATGTCTTCATGAACATGTGCATGTCATATGTGTCCAGTGCCCTCAGAGGCCAGAAGAGGTACCTTGGGACAGGAGTTACAGACACTTGTGAGCCACCATATAGGTGCTGGGAACTGAATCCAGGTCCTCAGCAAGCTCTCTTACTGTTGAGTCACCTCTCCAGCCCTCATGCAACATTTAATTAGGTCACCTGATGGGTTCAAATGGGGCTTATGTGATTGGTTCGTCTCCTCCTAATGTTAAAACAGAGCATGTGCCAACAATGGTCCCACTTCCATTAGCCTTTTCTTTAACACTAAAAGCAAAGATGGCGAATAATGGAGGTTCAGGTCATTAAGGAGGCTGCATAAGAGCTTGCCTACACAGTTCTTGGTGGCTATTTACAGCCCAAACAAAGACTTGTGCAAATATCACCAGTCTTCGTATCTGTTTAAGAGTGAGCCTTTCCTTCCTAACCCAACCCTTCTGCTCTAACTTTAACTAGGTAGCCAGTTATTTGAGGCAAGTGACTTTAGAATTTAACAAAAGAGATGGAGTTTTCCCTTAGCAATTTATGGATCTCAGTAGAAAACCTTTGCTTTTTAGAGAATTTTAAACTGCTGCTACTCTACGGTAGATCTACTTATCCGTGGTTTTTACTCCCTTGGCCTCAGTTGCCGATGCTCCAGTGAAATTCAAACACTCAACAATTCAAAAAATGTTTTAAAAAATAACCCCTAAGTTTTTAATTAGATGTCATCTGTAGAGGTACGATCTGATCTCTCTCTTTTAGGAATCTGAATCATTTTTGCCTGTCAGCCCCAAAGCCATCTCAGTTACCAGACCTCCTACTGTGGTGTGTGCACTTACTAACAATGGCCCCAGTACAAGTATTGCTGAGGTAACAATTCTAACAGAATGCTGTCTTATTTGCTGCATTTTATGACTGGCCATTGTTGTTAATCTCTTACTTACATAATTATAAAGTAAATAAAATATTAATAGAATATTTGGTATTACGTGTGGTTCAAGCATCCATGGAGTGTTTTAGACACTCCAATCTCTCCTGAGGATGGGAACTATGGTTCATCTCTTTGAAAGATAATTTTAAGTGATTTCCCATATTCTTGATCCACAGAAGGGAGAGGGTCTAAACTTACTCAGGAGAAGATGTTGAGCACTGGATCAAGGTCATGTCAGTGACCATGCAAACCACAGGATTGAAGTGTCCAACCAGCACACTATTCAGATTGGTCCTCATACGTCCATCATTTTCCAGAATCTTCTGACCACCTGGGCTCGGGATGAGTGCTTTTCCTGAACCTGTAGACTGTGGTTCTGGGGAGCATGAAGAGTCAGAGCTTACACTGATGGCTCAGTCTGCATTCATCCAACAAGAGTAGACATGGTTCACACCCTTAAACCACTCTAAGAGGGGAAGTGTATTTCTTGTTCAGAAGCGGACAGCCAGTTGAAATACAATTTGAGATTCACTGTGGGAATCACCCAATGCTTTCTAACCATTATCAAATCCAACCCCAGCAAACCCAAGCAACTTCTCAGAGTGTGTTGGTGTCCACCAACATCAGGACCTTCCTGTAATCAATAAGCTGAAGCTAGAGAAATGTTTCTAATTATACTACCAGGCATACCAACGAAGGTATGTCACCCAGAGAAGAGCGTAGCTGAAGCACACAGTATGAATAAATGAATGAATGAATGAATCCACCACTGCTTGATTGATGGGGCAGTCGGGGCCCATGGTGCTTTAATTCAGTCCTTCCTAATGATGAGACCCTTTAGTACAGTCCTTCATGGTGTGGCGACCTCCAACTATAAAAATTTTGTTGCCATTTTATAACTGTAATTTTGCTACTGGTTTGAATCATAATGCAAATATATATGTTTTCTGATGTCTTAGGCAATTGCTGTGAAAGGGTTGCTTGACCCCCATGATCCACAGGTTGAGAACCACCGCTGTAATATTTGTCCTGGTTACTACACCAATCCTGCCTCTGCCAAGTGGCTTCCGGTTATGTCCCACTACATCCTGTTGACATTATTGGAGTTCAACTTAAGCCAAAAACCTGAGCAAAGTTGAAGCAGAGACTAACAGCTGATCAGGAGGCTCCCACTGTTCCTGGGGCTTGTCCAAGCCAGAGCTAAATGATGAATCAGAGCAGAACAGGACGCCTGAGGCAGCGTTTCAGAAGTCATTTTCTGTGATGCTCCATCCCTGCATGTCCACACTTCCCACCTTCCCCAGGAGCTCCCAGGGGCCAGCAGACTTCAGAAAGCAAGTTTTAGGACACATCAAACTCACCACCCACGTTGGCCTTCCATCATCTTAACACTAAGACTAAAGTGTGGTTTTGGGGCCATCACAGCCCCTTGGTGAGGACATCTCTCTCCTCCATCACAGTCCCCATGGTGGGGGACATCTCTCCCTTCAGTAAACAAAGCCCTTGGACACACCCTCAAAGGTCTGTCATATACCCAGTGGTGCCTGAGAGCTCAGGGAACTGCTTTCTGATCCACAGCTAACCAACATGGGGGCTCTCTAGTCTGGCAAACCTGCACTGTTGGTACCACACACACAATCCCCCATCTCTATAGTCTTCCTTAAAAGTGCCAACTTAAGCTTCCTTGGCTACAGTTGGAAAGTAAATCACATCCAGGGATACGTCACCTTGGTTGATTTCTGTTGTGTCCCTTCTCCAGTAACTGCTCTGTCAAGTTTCGTTCACATCCCTAACCAGGCCAGTGACTCTGTACAGTCTCTAGACTTCGGGAAGACCCTTCAGGCCTCTGGCAAGTTCAAACATCTCACAGTTTCCTGAGGCAAGCTCCCTTTGCCCTAGCACAGCCCACTACAGACAACTACTAATGACAAGTGCTCACGCTGCATGGGACTCATTCACTTCCGTGCAAACGGGCATTCCATAGAGGTCTTATGAAAAAAGCCATCCTTGAGTTTTCTTAGGCTTAAACACAGAGCAGAGCAGTTTGCCTCGGTCACCGTGTCCACATTTGGCAGCTCAAGCAACCACGGATGGAAAATAGAAATGGATCAGAGCTGAACATGCAAAGAGCTTTTATCATTCCCTAAGCAATACCATATAACTGTTTACACAGGATTTACCTTGCATTAGGTATTATCAGTAATCTATAATATAAGTATACAGGAATAAATGCAACACTTATGTGGAAATACTCTACCAATTTATAGAAGGGCTTGTGCATATATAGACTTTGGTACGCTCAAGAGGACCAGGACTAGTCACCCGTGGATATCAAAGGACTTTGATCACTATCAAGTTCATGTAGACTAGGAAAATGAAGTGTAGAGAAAGGGGGGAGGGCATTTTTGTATGCTGAGTAGTTCATAATAGCAACACAGAATCACAGTAGTGGATAATTTATCATATGTATGGATATTTCAAAATAATTATATCACGCATTGATTAAATTTAATTAGAAACACACCACCCTACACCGGAAAGGAAAGGACTCTTATTGAGATAGTATCTAGTAGATTGTAGTGGAATCTCTTTTGCTTTCTAAAATGACTAATTAATTAGTTAAGGAGTCTCTTAGGGGTGTAGCTGTATGGGTCATTGGTGAAGAATCTGTGACATTGAGCTTCTGGCGTCTGAGAGTCACTCTGTGACCCCTGAGAGCTCAGCCAGCCCTGCTGGTGAAGAGCCACCATGGGCTTTCCAGATATGAAGAAATGGGTGAGCTATAGGGTCTTTCTTTTCATTTCCCTCTTTCAGTGGGTTCTACTGTGTGGGCCTGCGTGCAGATGCCAAAGCCACTCAAGTCATTGTCAGGTTCATTGTGTAAAGAAGGAGGCAGAGGAAGGAAGAGGAGAAAGAGAAAGAAAGGAAAGATAAAGAGGCAGAAGGAGGAGGATAAGAGGTGTTAAGGGAGCCAGTGACTCTTAGGACATTGAGTAGCTTGTGAGGACATCATAAAGAATCATATCGGAGAATAATTTATCCTATATGTAGATATTATAAAATAGTTGTGCCATGCATTGATTAAACCATGCCAGAAAGTCTGGATTCCAGACAGATATCTTTATGGACGAACAGATCTTATTAGTGAATAATCAGGTACTTCACTGACTCCCGTACCCACATTCCTGACCCTATAGTCATCAGAGATCAAGATCACAGAGCAGCCTGGCCAGCAGTGGCCATGCCCACAGTGCACTGTGCTGGGAATTAATGGTGAGATTGCTAGCCAGAACCCTCACATCACAATCTTGACCCCTCGCTTTTTAGTGGTATCTCTTAGAGTCATCTGATTTTCCGGGACCTCAGCCCTATATCTGATATGATATCTATTCAGCTTGGCCTCAGGATTCTCAAATGAAGTGAAATAAAAAAATACTAGCCTGGAATCTGATATGAAGTAGACAATTAAAAGAGAGAGGCTGCATTTTAAACACTGGCTCATCTCAAACTCTTGGAGTTCCCTCACCCGTGAAATGGCAGATGGTCCAAACATCTAAAGACGTCAACCTAGCAAGAGTGGTTATCCTCCTTATTATCTGGGAGCTCTCCTGGAGGTACCTATGATAAAAAAGAGCTGTGAAATTCAAATATGTAAAATTCAAAGATGTTACAATTCTTGAGCTCTGAAATTACCCCCATAAGAGGAAAAAAGGAAGGAACAGACTCACCTGTCTGTCAACTAACCCCAAGATTGAAAGGTGTGTGTCTCGCTCACATATTTTATATCTAAAAGAAGACAGGCCAAAGGGACACCCTTCATTTTAGGGACAAGGACCCAAGGAACAATCCATCACCTAGAAGAACTGTATGTCGCAATAGAACAAAGAAACTTTTCAACAACTGGACCCTTGGTCCACCAACTTTATCCATCAAAGATCTGTTATTAAAAACCCCCAAGTTAGAGGACAAATGCAATCACAAAAGCTGCAATGCTTCAAGTGCTGGGAGATGACTCAGTCTGAATTATATGCAGGAAGATGGGAGTTCCCAGGACACAAGTTTTTAAAGAGTCAGGCAGAGTGGTGCACACTTGTAATCTCGGTGCTGGGGAAATAGAAATGGGGGATCTCTGGGGCTTCCTAACCAGTCAGTCCAGGCTCCTTGGTGAGTTCCAAGCCAGTGAGAGATCCTGTCTCAAAAGAAAGGTGTGTGGTGAGGAATGAGAAACTGTCAGCCAAGTATGGTGATGCATGGGTGTTGTGAGAACTCCTTCAGCCAATAGCCTTTAAGATACCGGCCCACTTTGGGCGTGGTCTCTTGTACTATAAATGCAAATTAAAAAGCATGTGCAGCTCGACCACTGACAAAATGCATGGTGTCCATACTGGACAAGCAGGATACAAACAAAAAGACTGCCAAACCTTGCCTAGACAGGGTAAGATGGTGTTTCAAATCTCCCTGATTCTGAAAATGGTCTGTCAGCTAATCTAGGCCTCAGCCAAAGTTGGTTTCCCCAACATTGTAAATGAGACTTTGGTGATTGCCCGGGGAGCTGGTTGTTTCTGTCATCTATTGCACCTTGAGGAAGTTGCCTAATTTCACTTCCTGTTTTCTCGGATAATACTATTTCCCTTCTCAGATCTTTGATGGGATTGAAGATTAGATAGTCATAGTTACTTTCCTCTCATGACTTAGCCAAGCCATTTTTAAAAGAAGACTCAGACTCCTTAGGATAGGATCACTATTGAAACATTTAGCATATGTTTCTGGTTTGATGTTGGTCATACTGGTTGTAATTCTAGTTTTTATGTTTTTGCCTCTTCTTTTCCCTGGACAAGACTTGATATTTGTTCTTATTGTATATAGTTTTGTATTAGGCTTAGAATTCTCTTACTTAGATAAAAGGAGGAGGTGTTATGGAAACTTCTTCAGCCAACAACCTTTAAGAGACTGGCTGACTCTGAACAGGATCTCATGTACTATAAAAGCAGACAAAAAGCAGGTGTGGCCCTCTTGGCTGCTGGATTCAGTTCCAGTTCCCAGTGCATGCAGAGGATTGCATGTTGCTACCCTTACTGTGAGTTTATCCCCAAATAAATAAACCTTTGCTATACTCTATTCTGGGCTATTGTGGAACTCTTTGGTACGACAACACATGCATGCAAACATAATTCTTGCAAGGAGAAGGCAGAAGGATCAGGACTGCCTGGGCTTCATGAGACAGTCCCCTCCCCAAGAGGAAATTCACTGTCAATGCATTAAATGTCATGCACTATTGCATCAGACTGGTAAGAGGATGGCAAAGCCTGTGTCCTCCATCAAGAAGCAACAAATAGAGAGGAGGGGCTTTTGCATTGAGAATGGCAAGAAGTGCTT